CACACACAAGCAAAAGCGTTTTATTTTGAATCAAGAACGTGTTTTAGAAATGGTTCTGTTTAGTTCTGTAGAACTTGTGCGCTGCAAAGAGAGGCGACACACGTCTTTTTTTTGTTTGTGTGTCTGTGTTTGTGTATGCGTTGTTGTGTTTTCCGAATCATGTTTGTTTTTTCGGCTTGCTTTGGATGAATCTTTGTTCATGCATCCAGTGCGTGTGTGTGCGGACGCGCGCAGGACCTCTAAGGGCAGCAAAATGGGGAATGGTGAGTGCTCGCAGTCGCATCACTCAGCTTGCCCGCTTTCACTACAGCCGCATTTTTGTTTTTTTTTTTTTTGCTCTTTTCTCCTTCTCTCATTCACAGTCTCTTCTTTTCTTTTGGTCTCCGGTGCCGACACTTTAAAGAAGCGCAAGGCTGAGGAAAACCCCTAAAGAAATTTGACAAATCAACGAGGAATAGGGATAGGAACAAGGCTGAAGATGTCGCATGAAAGCAGTCCTTTGCAGGTGGGCTCCGTTTTAGGTCCTTCCGTGGACGAACGCTTCTCTAGCCGATCGCTTGAGACGTACTCTTTTGCAGACCTCATTCGTGCTCGAGAGGAACAGCAGAGGCGTATCCGCGAGGCACTAGAGGAGCAGAACCGTCAACTTCGCGCACGTCTTGGTTCAGAAGAGGCCAATCAGGGTGGCGGTGACCCTGCCATTACAGCAAGCGCCGCCCGCCGCCGGTCGTCACAGTCCCCCGCGAAGCAGCACTCTGTCCCTATTGAGGAGTTTATTACCTTTGTGACGGAGATGAAGGATCTCCTTAACTGCGCCCAGCAGGCAGACTTGGTGGCCCTTCATGCTCTTCAGGACCGAGTGGATTTTCAAAACCGTGATCTTGCGCAGCGGATAACAGAGCTGGAAGCGCAAATGATTGCCATGCAGCGGCGTGATGAGTTTGGGTATGCCACTGGCGACAGCCCTTTTGCGCCCGTGCCGAGTTCTGTTGCAAACATGGTTGAAGATAAATCACCACTGCAGTATGTTCTGCATGAACTGGAAGAAGTGCGGCATGCGGCCGAGGAGGCAGCGAAGCGGGTGCGTGAATACGATGAAGTTTTGGACAGGCATCGGACATCGTTTTGTCTTTTAGAGAAAGATATAAATGTCCTGGAAACAAAAATGGTGGATTTGGAGTCTTTGCCCTCTCTTTTCAGGCGGGAATCCATGACAATGGAGGAGCGCTACGCTGAATTTACTCACCGATTACAAGAGGAGATTTTGCTGCAACGAGAAAGGTGTCCTCGTTCAATTGAGGGCACCAACGATGCAATCAGGCAACTGGAGGAACGGTTAAAAGTTGTGGAGCGTGCCGTTTTTGAAATGAATCAAAGAAGCACCGTCGAGATCGAAAGCCGTGGGAGTGGTGATGTGGAGTGTGTTTTACCAAGCCTTGTGGGAAAGAAGTTGCAAGAACCTAAAAAGGCTACTGAGAGTTTTCCCCAGGCGAAGTTGGACGAGCCTGATTGCATACAATCCGCCAGCGCCGCGGACGATCCAACCTCCTCTGCTGGGGGAGGGGCTCCGTTGCTGTCGAAGGGGCAGGACGATGTCACAACGGAGTTTGTGGGGGATTTGCCAAAGGAAACGCAATGCCTTGATGCAAAGCCGCATACGGTGACAAGCGATCTTACCACGGATGCTCCATCAATGAAAGACCGTATTGAACCTCTAACGAAAGAGGTAGATGGTGATAACGTCATGCTTGAGGGAGCCATTGCACGCCGCGCTTATTTGGGTATTGACCCATCTATTTTGGGTAAAAAACAAATGGTGGAGCGTGTGACGAAGGTTGAAACTCAACTTGGCATTTTAGAAGAGAAGCTGAATTACTTTGCTGGGAAGTTCGAAGTCTCCAATACAGAGTCTGAGACGCATACTGGAGAGTCTGCACCCAAAACAGGCAGATGTAATTCTCCTGATGCTGTCGCAGAGGCCAAAACTAACCATTTGGACATCTCCACCAAGAGTCACCATAGTCAAGAACGCATCAATCGGTATTTGAAGGAAGATCTGGAGCTCGCGACGGTTGGCCTGCGCACTGAGGCAGCGGAACAAATTGGTACGGCTTGCAATACAGCTGCAACTGCTAGTCCGAATGGATTAAATTTTATGGAGGGGAATGTGTTATTGCATTCTGCATCGGGACAGACGGCGGTGTTGCCCGTTCGCAGAAGGATGCAAGTGTCGAGAAAAGAGCCCGAGAATTTTTCTTTTGGCCCATTCAAAGCGCCTTCCGTGCCAATTACTTCGGGGAGTCTCTCAAAGGCGGTCGCAGAGATACATGAGCGCAAGCGACAGAAGGAGGGTGCTGTGAAGGAAGTCATTGCCGCTCTGCGCGAAGTCCAAAAGCGCTTTTCAGAGTTATCGGATAGAGAGTCAGCTACCCAACGCTGCAGCGCACGTCGAAGCGGACAAAAGCATTTGACTTCCAGTACATGCGACGACCCGGTCAGTTTGTTAGAGTTCATAGCAACTCAAAAGGAGGCCATATATTCGAAGGAGAAGCAATTGCTGGATCTGCGTAACACACTTTGGCGCGAAATCGCGCAGCTTGAGGAGGACGAACGGGAGCTCTTATCGTTACAATCCTTATAAATACTCTTCAGTAACTACTCCGTGTGTGTGCGTGTGCGTGTATGCTTGTATTTGATGACTATTGTTTTTTTCCGGGTGTGTTTTCTCTTTTATTTATTTATTTATTTTGGATTATATCTCTCTTGTTTTTTTGAGTACCGATTATCTTTCTAAATTCCTTACCGTTCTGCTCATAATACACGTCCGTGTGGTGAGTTGATGACATGCACGTCTCAAACGAAAGTCTTCTTTGGGGATAAATGACGGACGGACGCTGAGATTCGTTGAGTCTTATCCACTCATCTTTGTCATTCATTTCTCACTTTCTGCTTGTGTTGCTGTCTGTGTGTATGCGTGCAGTTTTGAAGTAAAAACAACAACAAGAACAAAAAGTCCAACACAAAGAAATATACGGCGCGTTGAATTAAAGAAACAAATAAAATAACAGCACTATTTCCGTTTAATATCCATTTTTACAGATGCTTCGTCGTTCTCTTTTACGCATGTCTGGCCTAGACAAAGTCGTTGCATTGTCGAAGGCTGTCGGTGACATCAAATCTGGGGCCTCACTGGCCGTTGGTGGCTTTGGAACGGGAGGCATGCCGCATGCACTCTTGGGGGAGATTAAAAAAACCGGCGTGCGGGACCTTTGCATTTACAGTGACGCTGCCGGTACTGATGGTTACGGCGTCGGCTTGTTGTTTGAGGATAAGCAGGTTAAGAAGATGGTGGTAAGCTACGTTGGTAACAACAAAATCTTTGCCAAGCAATACCTGGAGGGTGATTTGGAGCTGGAATTTTGCCCGCAAGGCTCTCTCGCGGAGAGAATGCGTGCAGGGGGTGCAGGTATTCCTGCTTTTTACACGGCCACTGGCTTCGGTACGGTGGCGCAGACGGGCGGCCAGATCACAAAGTATAATGGGGACGGCTCCGTTGCTTGTGAGTCTAATCCGAAGGAGACACGTCTTATTGACGGCCGCTGGTACGTCATGGAGCGCGCCATTTGCACCGACTTCTCCCTTGTGAAGGCATGGAAGGCCGATAGGAGTGGCAACCTTATATTCCGTGGCACCTCTCGCAATTTCAACGTCCCAGTCGGCCAATGCGGCCGCACCGTCATTGCGGAAGTGGAGAATCTTGTCGAAAATGGCGAATTGGATCCCTGCCATGTGCATCTGCCGGGAGTTTACGTGGACCGCGTTGTGGTGCCTGAACGGTACACTACACCGATTGAGAAGCGCACAGTCAGCCATCCCCGCTCGGAAGAGAAAAATAAGGCGATGAAGCCGGGTGAGGAGGCCCGTCAACGCATTGCACGCCGTGCTGCACTCGAGTTTTCCGACGGCATGTATGTAAATTTGGGTATTGGTATCCCGACAGAGTCAGCGAACTACATCCTTCCAGGTGTGACTGTGGTGCTGCAATCTGAAAACGGCCTTCTTGGTATGGGTCCTTTCCCTGAGGAAGATAAGGTGTCTCCCGATTGGATCAATGCGGGTAAGCAGACGGTCTCGTATCTTCCTGGTGCCGCCACTTTTGATAGTGCAACCTCCTTTGCAATGATTCGTGGTGGACATATGGACATCACAATGCTTGGCGCTCTTGAAGTAAGTGCCAACGGCGATCTTGCCAACTTTATGATTCCCGGCAAGTTTGTGAAGGGTCCTGGGGGAGCGATGGACCTCGTCGCGAGTGGGACACGTGTTGTTGTCACCACCATGCACTGCGACAAGAAGGGCCTACCTAAGATTGTTGAACGCTGCAAGCTACCATTGACGGGTAAGAACTGTGTCAACCGTATTATTACTGAATACGCCGTCTTCGATGTGGAAATGGGCCAGTTGGTGCTGAAGGAGGTTGCTGAAGGCGTCACCGTGGAGCAGGTGAAGAAAATCACAGGTGCTCAATTCCTTGCATGTGATGTGAAGACAATGCCGCTGGCGCCTATTCCTTAAGCGCTTAAAGGGGGGAAAAAAAAAAACAACGAATACCGCATGCTTATTTTTATTTCTTCCTCCCCCCTCATAGTCTTGTGTTTTTGTTATTATTATTTTTCTCTCAGACGCCGCCCCCATCGTTGTTGTTGTTTTTTCTTTTTTTTTTCTTTTTTTTCTTTTTTTTTTTTTTGATATTTATTTCTTCCTGCCCCTCCACTCTTGAATGCGACGCGCGGCAACCGTCATGAACTCTTGTTTTTTTTTTTTTTTTGATTGTTTTCCTGTTTGTTTGTTTTGGTTGTTGTTGTTGTTGTTTTTCTCCAGAAATAATAAATAAATAAAAAAAAAAAAACAATAAAACCAACAGACAAAAAAACAAAACAAAACAAAACAAAACAAAACAAAACAAAACAAAACAAAACAAACAAAAAAAAAAACGAAGAGAATGATGAGTGTATATGTTGTGTCGTCAGATGTTTCTTGTATGTGTAAGTATATATACATGCGCATTACAGTAAATACATATATATATATAATGCTGTTAATAATAATAATAATAATAATAATAATAATAATGATATTACAGTAATATATAATAGTGATAATAATACAATACCAACGGACATGTGTGAATGTATATTTATATGTGTTTATGTTTATTTATTATTACAGAAAATGCGGCGGTGAATGGGAGAACGAAGAAGAAGTGTTTTGTTGTTGTTGTGTGTATGTGTGTATGTGTGTTTTCCTTTGGGTGAGTTGTTCATGGGGCAAATGAAACAACGCAACAGCACTTCTTTACGTTGATGTAAGACCACCAAAGACGCCAGCAAAATAATAATAAATAGAAAATAACAACAAAAACAACAACAGCGGCGCATAGAGAGGCAAGAGAAAAAGCAGCAAAGAGAAGGTAAAAGAAAAAAAAAGTGACTGAAGGAATGGGTAGTACTGTGGGCGAGGCACTTATTTAGGATGCCTGCAGCCTTCGCCCTTCCTTTTTTTTTTTTTTTTGTCTCGTACGTATTATTGTTTCTGTGGCTGACAGCTGTTGCGAGTACATGACGAGCATTCACTTTGAATGCACGCGTGTCTCTCATGCAATCTGCTGACAAGGACGCACACGGCGACTCTTGACGTACCGCCAAGAAACGGAATTCGGGGAGTTGGAAGGGAATTTTTTTTTTCTTCTTTATGTTTAATTATGTTTTCCTTCAACTCTCCTTTTGGTTTTTGTTTTTGTCCTTCTCTCTGCAGTGACTTACGCAGCACGAGAACACATTTCAGGGCGGCAAGGCCGGGAGGAAAGGACGTCAATGAAAACACATAAGGAGTGTAAATAAATATCTATATTTGTATTTTGGATTAAAAAATGATAACAAAGAAAAGGGGGGGTGGGGGAAGTTAAGGGGAGATGACGAAGATGATGTCTCTTTGCCCCGACCTCCGACACTCCCGCATGTGTGCATTCCAACCAGCAGCGTGCGAAGTAGCGGGGCGGGTGAGGAGAACATCAAAAGAGAAATTAATTTTTTATTTTTATTATTCAACGCCAGAAAAAAATAAAAAAAAACCACGTAATACTCTTGGAAATAAAATAAAAAGGAAAAAAAGGAATGAATGGAGAAAGGGAGGATGCGTGCCAGCCGGTAATATGTATGCAATATGCATTTTCTTGGGGCACGTGCGTACATTTTCCTACGAAATCCCTTTTTTCTTTTTCCTTCTGTTTTACGTCGTTTGTATTGTGATGCCTTTATGGGGTGGTGTGTATCATTATTATTTGTTCCATAAGCACCTGCGTGTTTTCACGTATTTTGAGTCATTCACATAAATAGGCGGATAAACAGAGTGTGGCTGAAAATGTTTCGTGAAACAAACGTGGGCGGCACACAAGATTGGCGGAGTACGAAACCATCCTCGAACGTCCACTTTATTTCTTCTTCCACCTTCGCAACCGCACTGGCAACGCGGTCATGTCGGACATTCCTGCAGTTCACGCACTCTCCCGCAGTGGTGGAACTTCTTTCTGAATGGCCGGGAATTGGAAATGACATGGAAACATACGCTCTTCAGCTTCGCAATTTAGATGACTTGGCAGGTTTACTTCATTGCATCAAATTCTCTCAGGGCACGACAAGGATGGGCGCCCAGGTTTCTCGCACCCTTCGTGGGGCATTTGCGGCGGACAACATGGGGTCATTGGGCTCTGATTCTGGAGCGAATTTACCTTCTGCGACAGAAAGCAACCTGATTGGTTGGCTTCAGCTGTTAGTTTGGACTCGACTTTTTGCGGTGTTTTCGATGCGGCAGCTGGCTGCCATTCACGATCAAATTTCGTGGTACTTGTGGTACTGGTCGTGGGCGGAGGTGCACTCCGCCAGGGCCTCTGTGCACCTTGCACTTGGAAGAACGTGGTGGTGGGAGGGTTTCTTGCGTCGGGGCTGGATGGGGCAGGTGTTGTTGGTGAAGTCATACGCCATTGCCCACAAGTCCGCCTTGAACCGCGTCCTTCACGGTGTCGTGCGGACCCTTGGAGCTGTGTACAGTCTGGTGGATCGCATGAATGCACTTCTTTCCTCCATGGAAGACACGGCCGCGGGTGATCGTCTGCTGTCGCAGGAGCCAGGCGCAGGCATTTCGACGGAGATCCCGCCAAATTATCATCGTTTGGTGTCTAATGTTTGCGCCACGGTGGTTTCAACGATGAAATTAATGGCACACACACTGCGGCCACAAGGCACTACCGGCTTTCTCGACGCGCATTCGAGAGGGATGCCAGGGGAGATGCCATACGTGGGAGGCTGCGCAGGTGAATTGATGATTTTTGAGTTCCCAACACGTACACCCTCGGAAGAGACACCGGAACGCATAGAGACCAGCGCCTCCTTGAAGGATATATTTAATTTACTACTGGACACACTCAACTTCACGAGAAACTATACAAAAAGCATCAGTGAGGAAATTCACACACGTCACGTTCCTCCAAATGGCAGACACTGGCGGCGTCTCCTCTTGGCTGGTTTTACGGTTGTGCCCTCCGTGATATTGCTTTCATCACACAGTGTATCGAACCTTTGGCGAGTAGCGTCATCTGCACGTGTGGTTCTTCGCAGTCTGATGGAGAACTATGTTATGTACCCAATTAAAGAGATCTACAAGAGCCTGACGAGTAGTCGTCCAGGCGTTTTGGAACGACGACGCACTCTTGAAATGGAAATGGAGTCTGTCGCGAATATCATTCGAGATTACCACGAGGATTACTACCCAAACATCCCACATGATGAGCTTCAGCGTTTACGTGATCGCACCCTTAAACATCTTCGCTCAGGCGTGATTGCGGATGATGAGGGTTACTGTCTCATTAACAAACATTACGAAAATGCCATTCGACACCCCATCCGCAGTGCATTCTTTGGGAATTTGCTGCGGTTGATGCTCATTCAACTAACATACCAACAGCTGGAGGTGATGCGGGTTGTGAATTCCACCGACGAGGTCTTGGAGGGAAATGATTTGAACTTCAAAATTATGGCCATGGTGCCCGTCTTTCTTTTTCTGAGTGGTTTGCTGTTCATATCGTTTCAGAAGCGTCGCGCAAGTTTGCGTCCGGTAAATAACCAGCTGAAGCTTTACTGGCGCTCGGTTCACCGCGTTGTGACGTTCCCGGAGGACCTCCATGACGAGTTCCATATATCGCGTTCAGGCGATGACGTGTCAATGGACCAGACAAAAGAGAATGACGCTTGGGAGCTTGGGAGCGCCAACCACCTGAACAGCCATGACCAGGGATTGCTTTTGTTGCTGACCCACCACATGCGACGGTTGGCAGTGGAGTATCACATGGGCTACAGCCATCTCCAAGAGTTTTTGGAGGACCTTGACGACCTTGAAAGTGTGCAGTCCACACGATATCAGCGCTTGCTGACGCTTGAGCGGATGCGGCATATCTACTACTTCCTCTGGTGATGTACGGGCGAGAGGGTTGTTCTTTACTTCGGTTTACTTCTTCCCTTTTTTGTCTTATCTACTTGTTTGTGAAGATGGCCCGGCAATTTATGCCAATGGCGATTCTTCTCTTTTATTAGTATTTATCGATATTTCTCTTCCTACGGTCACACACAAATGTGCACAAGGAATTTAAAAGGAAAATTCCTCTCTCTCTCCCTCCCTCCTACACACACACACACACACAAAAGCAGGAAGAAGGAAAAATTTTGGATTTCCTTCTTTTACAAAAATCTTTTCCTTTTTTCCCCCCCTTTTGTTTTGCGGAGCTGAAGGAATATTGAGCGATGTCTCACCGTAAAGCCAAGAAGGCCACTATCAACAAATCCAATGCTTCCGCCGCTGTGGCGAAGCGTGCGCTGGAGAAGAAAGCCGAGCGTGAGGAGATGCTTCGGTGGTTAGAACGGAATGACCCTTTGTATGAAGGTTCCGTGGTCCCACCCATCACCATCAGCGAGTTGCTCTCGGAGAAACTCAGCCACAGGACGTTTACAATGAATGACAAGGGTGAAGTGCCATACGATTGGTCCAAGTTACGCGCTGCGCTAGAGGGGAGGAACCCAGAAAGCCCGCGTTGGTTTATGCAATTACGCGAGGAAGACCTCCTGTTCGAAGATGTTTTGGACGGCGTGACTGTGGACTGTGTTGTTATAGCTGAGGCTAGTGTGCCGACACTTGCCCCAGCGCACTACATTGTGAAGATGCATATGCCTTTCAGTGATCCGGAGGACAATGCCCCGGAATGCATTTTCCCCATCGAAGGGCAAGACATGTGCTGGCGTAGTGTGGTGCGTGATAACAGAGGTGATATTAACGCCTACTTATTACAAAAGCGAGAGACGAAATGTTACAGAAAATACAGTTTTGGCTTTGGAGCTATAGGAGACTTTAACATCACCGTGCCTAAGAGTAACACATATAAACCAGCTTTTACGGGTGGTTTTGGCTTTGGTGCCACGTCAGCATCATACAGCAATTTAACACCCAGTTTTGGTTTTGGCTTTGGTGCCACGTCAGCATCATACAGCAATTTAACACCCAGTTTTGGTTTTGGCGCTTCAATACATGAAAAAGGGTTTTCGGTACTCCCAAACACCGCCTCATTTGACGAATTTGGTTCAAAGTCACCGTTGAAAGCGACCCCGCTAAAGACGAGCGAGGTTTTGTTTGCACTTTGGTCAAAAAAGCGTCTCTCTGACATGGCGAGGTCCCTTAAATCAGGTAGCCGCATCCTGAGAGAGAATTTTAAACCGAGTTCCTCGGCCCCAGAAATAAGGCTTGTGATGCAGAATGACCTCAAGGACGATGTTTCTAAGACGGTGAAGCAGCTGATTCTTAACAAAATGTTTGCCAAGCGCTCTGACAAAGTTATGGGGGTTGATCAGTGGATAGAAAAGTGCCCCGTGTACGATGAACACTTGACAGCCGCCTTGCAGAAGTTTCGTGCCCATTACGTGCAAAAGGTTGCAGAAGACTCTGATGTGTTTCAAGCTTTATACAATGAGTGCCATGAATCGATGGAGAAGGAATTGAATCGCATCGTGGAGTTGCGCAAGGCGGTGGTGCAGCAGCAGTTACGTTGCATCGAGGGGATTATGGAGCAGCTGAAGGAGGGCAAGATGGCGGAGAAGAAGACATTCCGGCTTTTGAAGTATTATCCTGCGAATGATGTCATGCGATTTCGCCCGTTTGGAAAAGTGAGCGGCATTTCAGAAATGGGTGAGAGCGCGGACGTGTGCGAGCCGCCAGCGCCTGTTCTTGTTAACCCCTTCAATACCGCACATTCCGCCAATTCTCCGTGACGCGGCAACACAACGGCAGCCGGGAGGACTGTGGGGATGAAGAGGGATATATAAATTGAAGTAAAAAGGGAAAAAAAAAAGGGGGGGAAAAAACAGAAACGGAAAAAAGGGGGAGGACATACGCGGGTGGAGGAGGAGGAGTAATTGGCAAAGGAAGAGTAGAGGGAACCTCGCACTGATCAGAATTCTCTGAGGGGTTTCTCTTTCTTCGAATTCCCCGCTCTCTTCCAGTTCACTGCCATCTCTTTTTCTTACTATCGGATGAAGTTGTAGGCTCGACGGCATTTTGTGGCCTCGTGCAACCTACTCACAGATGCGTGCACCACAAATACGGAGTTATGTATATATACATACATACCTGTAAAGGGAAGCGGGAGGATTTATGCGGGCGGGGTGAGTAAGACTGTATGAAGCAATAGATAATAGTAAAAAAGAAAAAAGAACACGCGGAAGGTGATAACAAAGCATAACGAAAACAAAAGGGAAAAGGGATGCAAATACATGAGTGGACAAATAGGTGTATGCAGAGGATGTTTTTGTTTGTTGAAGGGGATTTATTAGATGAAAAAGAAAAGCAAAAAAAAAAAAACAAAAGCGAACCAATAAAAAAAATTTTTTTTTTTTTGATTGCGATTGTCCGTGTCAAACTGTTCAGTGTATGGGAGAAGACGAACTTCGTTTGGGTGCTCTATCCGCTTTTTTTTCTAATTTTGCGTTGTTTACTAAAAATTCAATTTTTCTTAGAAGCGGGGACGCAGTGACTAGCGATGGGACAGGAGGGGAGCAAGGTAAAGGAAACATTAAAGGGCATATGTGGCCTTCAAGTTGCGCGTGTGCTGCCCCGAAGCCCCGCTCATAATGTGGGTTTAGTTCCCTTTTTCGATATCATCACCGCCGTTGACGATTGTCTCCTCGTTGACGAGGATGTTGCTGTGATGCAGTTTAGGTCATTTGTGTCCCAGCGAAAAAATAGTCAGTTGTTATTGAAGGTGTACAATTTGCATGTGCGCGCCTATAGGGAATTGGTTTGTTTTCCCAGTACGTCTTGGGGAGGCGCAGGGTTGTTGGGGTGCAGTATTGAATGGTGCCGTGCAAAGGACTGCTTAAGACGCAGTTGGCACGTTGTGGGAATTCTTCCGGGGAGTCCGGCGGCTCATTGCGAGGAACTTCGAGCAGAGCGGGACTTCATCATTGGTATGCAGCGGCCAGAGGAGCCAGTCGTTACGCTTTTAAAGGATGAGGATGACTTCTACGGAAGGGTGGATCTGTGGCGCAGTCTTCAGCGGGTGGCAATTCAACGTCTGAACCGTAACTCAATGGCTCTCCCCGCAGGGGCCGATGGCAAAGCTGCATCGAGCGCCGACATTGGGAGGCTTCTACTTCTCGTCTACGACGCTTTGGAAAATGAGGTGAAGGAGGTGGTGTTGGATGTGGGTCCTGACGTGGATGCTCCGTTAGGACTTAATTTGGCAGCGGGACTGCTGCATTCGCTAATCATCTCTTCCCCAATGGAGGAACGCAGAAGCCTCAGCGGCAGTAATGACAGTAAGGATGGCAACGAAAACGACAATGACGGTGGTTGTGCGACAAACAGGAGACTCAGCCTACCAGTTATGACAACTTTTTTGACAAGTTTGGGTGTGGTGGAGAGAAGCTTGCCCGCGACGCCGTTGCAAACACCTTCCAGAAAAAATGTTGGTATGCACTCCCATGACGAGTTGCCGGACCCCGTGCCAACGATGCCTCCAACTCCTACGCCGTACAGAACGCTGGCTCCACCTGACTTTTGTGAAATTACAATGCCTTCGTCTAAGCCGCTAATAGGAAGAGAGGGGGTGATACAACGGCAAGAATGCTTGGCGACACCGGGTGCCGTGGATATGAGCAGGACTCTACCTGCTGCGGGGGAAGTGGAACTCGGGGAGCTACGTATCCCCTCGGTCCTTCATCCGGATTGCAAGACGATACCAGCTATTTCCCAGGGTTCTTTGACGAATACTGTCGGTAGTGGTTTGGAAGGACTGACAAATCCGTGCACCGTTTCACAGGAAGCAGCTTCTAATGCACTGCCACCAGTCATAACAGAGAATGGGAACAAACCTCTGCAACCAACAGCGCAGCGGGGGGAGCAACACGTAGGGACAAGTTCTAGCGGCATGCAGCGCCATGGACCTGTCGCTCACGGTGCTTCGTGGAACACATTTCTTTCTGCTAACAAAAATTTTAACTCCCCGCCACAGGTGACGCTCCTCAAAATTCCCCCGCCGCTACATTTCCCAATCATACGGCCAACAACACCTACGTCTTGGAAATGATTACAAGGTTGGGAGAAAACCGCTCATCCGCGTGTCTTTTTTTTCCCCTCCAATTTTCACTCTCAAACCAAGAATAAACAGCGAGCGAACAACAAAAACAACAAGACAACTCGACATTGAAATCGAAGAGAAAACCGACAAAGAAGTGACAAGAAGTGAAAAGAAGGAAGAAAGTTGAAGTGGTTGGCAGAAAGTACAAGTGGTTTTCTTCCTCTATTTAATATTTTAGTCGTCTACGCACACACACACACACACACTCTCTCTCTTTTTTTTTTTTTTCCTTCAAAGTTTTGTTGTTTTTTTTTTTTCCGCCGAGTTGCCAACGATTGGGGGTAAAAAAGTGTGTTATTTCCAACTGTTGAACTGCTTTTGAACTCATTCCGCGGATTTCCGCCTCAACAGTTACTCACTTGCACATGCGTACACGCGTGCATGCGCACACACGTACATACCCGCCCACACGACGCCTTTCTCCCCGTGACTTTCTTCAGTTGAGCGAAAGGGACACACACGCACACGCAGAGTTGTTTTTTTTTTTTTTCAATTAAAAGTTAATATATAAACAAACAAACAAACGAAAATAATAAGGAAAAAAAAAGTTGGCGAAAATACGTTAAGAATGCGACGCGTATATCAAAGAATCTGTCGGGATGCCCTTAGTCACAGCACCCCGTCGGGCCGCGCGGCTTTCGCTGCTGCTATCAGTACTCTTTCCGCTGCTTATGATGGCAGCCGAGGCGGTAACAAAATAAGTGCTGCTCTGGCAACCCCCATGCGCTTTTGCTCCACCTCGAGCGACGCAGCGACAAAAAAGCCGGTGGACATCACCGACGAAGACGTTGTTATCGACCCAACACCCGCGGCGAAGGATGGATCTACAGGCGCTGATGCGGCCTCGCCATCATCATCATCATCGGCAAAGCCCAATGAAGATTCCGAGCGGGTGGTTGGAGAATCGGAAGAAATGGGATTCAAGACGGAAACACGACAGCTGCTGGATATTGTTGCCTGCAGTTTGTACACTGAGAAGGAGGTATTCATTCGTGAGCTGGTTTCAAACTCCAGTGATGCTTTGGAGAAGCGCCACCTGTTGGAGATCAGCAAACCGGAGGAGTACCCGCGTGAGGAAGACGACGAGGCTCCCTTCATTGCCATTTCCTGCAACCAGAGCAAAAGTCGCTTTGTTATTCGCGACACGGGTGTCGGCATGACGAGAGAGGAACTTGCAGAGAACCTTGGCACCATTGCGGGCTCCGGATCAAAGGAATTTGTGCGCGAGCTGCAGAGCGCCGCGTCCGGTGCGCAGGCTGCTGAAAAAATTATTGGTCAGTTTGGTGTTGGCTTCTACGCTTCTTTTATGGTGGCGAAACATGTCAAGGTATACAGCCGTAGTGCGAAAAAGGGCAGTAAGGGTTATCTGTGGGAGTCGGATGGCACAGGCACGTTTAAGATAACTGAGTGCGAGGGTGTGGACAAGGGGACAAAGATTGTTCTTGACGTCAAGGACACGGAGCTCTCCTTTTGCACCCCACAGGTGTGTGAGCGTGTTTTGAAAAAATACAGCAATTTTGTTTCATATGAGATAACACTTAATGGTGGGAAGGTGAATACGGTCGAAGCACTTTGGATGAAGGACAAGAATGCCGTTTCCAATGAAGAACATATCGA